AAAATTTCATTTACTTGCTGGGGAGGGTTATTATGTCGTCTAGGTGATTTTAAAGCTCACCAATCGGAATGAAATTTGTATTTGGCTCAAGTAGGCCATGCGGAAACGAATTGAACTGTCACACTTCAGCGCGAACTTCTGCTGTACAGGCGTCCAAAGCCCGGAAATCGGGGATTTCTGCCAAAAAGCTGCCAAAACTTGACATATCTGTCTCCAATTCGGGCTTTAGAAAGTGCTTACTTCGTCAAAACTGCAATCTGATGTTGCTAATCCTCGTGTCCCCGTTGACGAACGTTGGTAACGAATGCATTTTGTGACAAAATTAGGGGTGTACGGAAGCCAAAGCTTCGTAGGATGTAAACGACGCTCGTGTAAAAACTGGATGCCCCGTACAGAATGTTAAATAAGGTAGATAGCAATATGAATTGCAAAAATGAAGTCCTAATTGTCAAGTTATGACCAGGAACAGCAAATAAATTTCGACACTTTTCCACACCTGTGCGACTGCCAATGTTACAGCACTCAGGGTGGAATGGTTTTAAGTAACGGCCAATTGGATGACGACAACCACGCGTGTAGCACTTATAAATCGATGCCATTCAATCGACCAAAATCAACGATCTTTCGCTTTTTATGAATGCTATGAGTAGAACACATAAGCGCTTTTAAAAGAGGATAAATTTTGATGTTGATTACAGTAACCTTAGCAGTAACGAAATCAGGCGACGCTTGAATAAACCAAAACCCTGGCGACTAACAACATTACATTACATGGAAAATACTCAGACTGAGAACTCAGCCAATCGATCTGCCACCGGCATACAGAGCGCAGCGCAGTCATTTCCAAACCTGCATTATTGATAGCTGACTGGCACATATCTCTTGTAACTTGCGCTTGTCCTGTTGTTATTGTTGTCATCTTCGAAGATGGATTCTAGCATGAGCCTGAAAGCTCGGAATGATAAACGACCTGTTCCGGTACTCGACCAGCCCCCTCCTTTCTCACAATTTAAAACCTACTGAAACCGTTTTCGAAGGTCAAATATTGCACTGGTCGGCTTAATACGCTAGTGCGGAACGTCACTTAAGTTTGAAAATGACATAACCAAACGGTGAGTTGAAATTATGAAAAAAGACGTAGAGCTTAAAACCTTTTTAGTTCAAGCAGTGACACCACAATGTGCATGACCTTATACACACGGGGCAGGCAATCCCTGGCACGAGTGTTTGCGCGTGATGCTTACGTGAGCAAAGATCATGTCACTGTAAAGAATGAACCAAAGGATGGTGATAGAAAGGCTGATAATTAAGAAGTAATTGCATGGTCGGCAAAAAATAAGCGATAATTTGTAATGGCTCTTTCTAAGTTCACCGTACAAGAAAGTCGTCAACTTCAGACAACTAAACATTCCCGAGACTCAGTTGCTCCAAATCTCCCTAGCGTATACAAACCCCTCCCTAAGCACACACACTTACACACACACGACGTTTCGACTGTCGTTACCAACGATTTCTACCGTGCGCTACACGGCAAGGTGAAGTGGGCCCCGTGACATGTTTGGGAGTTAGTTTATGGTGATAGTGGACTTGCACAGCATCTAGTGCACTCTCTTCTCCACCTGGGCCTGGTGTCAAGACAGGGTCTAAAATACCGGAGGCGAGGGAGGGCGCGGGTGGGTGGCACGGTCCAATCCGCATCCTTGCCATCCGCTCCACACCCGCCGGTTCACACAGCAAATGACTAGGATTTAAACGAACAACAAAAATTGGAGGGAGAGGGTGTCAGGGGTCCCAATCTGCGCGACGTCTGCCGGTAACTAGGTCTGTCACCGCTGCCCGAAATGTTGGAATTTTGTATGCTGTGCATCCTAATAACGCCTGCCAGAATCGGATATGACCCCCGCGCTGGTCCAGCACATCTACTGCGTGGCCCCTTTTGGGGGCACATAAAGACACACGCGCCAAAACCACAAACATCAAGACGTTAGCGCCGCGGTCAGGATACACCTATTGTCCACTCCAATGCGTCTAGCTGCAGCCAGCTGACATGGCTGCTCCTAGTTTATCCAAACTATCCTCTTTGGTATTATACAGCTAAGAGGAGATCTCAATTCCTGCAAGCATTTTAGCTCGAAAATGGCGCAGAAGTGTCTTCCAGACCACAACCCCTTTACCCCTTGCTGAAGGCAGTTTCGAAAAAAACAAATTGCCCGATAGGGATCGGCTGACGTATGTGTAATGGAGCCTTTTCTCACTTCATCCAATCACGGACTGACAAACAGGTGGACTGATATCTAGATCGAATTTTGTGATAGCAGAACTTTCCAAAGCTTGAAAGGGACGCTGCAGTGTTTTCCCATAAATAAGCTTATGCTTCCCTGGCAGTCCCTTGCTCGGGGAAAGTGCTTGCTACTTAAAACTCAGACTGTGAGAGGCAGTCTGAAAGTTGACCAATGTAAGTAGAGCTGCAAATTTGAGTGCTTTTCGTGCCGACTTCACTGCTCGTTGCCTGGAGAATACTACGCACCAACAAAGGGGAACTACGCACAACCTTTGTAGAAAAACGTAGAGGCTGCCGAGCACTCGTCTTTCTTCCTTCTCGGTAGATTAGGCTCAGCCATCGCCACTTTATCGAGTGTAGGACAAAGCTCTCCGACAACAGCAAAGATGTTCTGCTGTATTTGTGTACCGACTACAATCTACCAGCCTAATTATTCACCGACAATTAAGGACTAGATTTACTAGAGGAGAATGGCCACTTTCCATACGCACGCCTCTTACTGTCGGATGACCTGAATGTTATTCCCATGTGTTGACATCCGGACCCTTTTATGTCAGCTGATTCTGATTCAACTTCGCGAGCACGCGGATAGTAGCGCGGGCCAACAATAAGACAGGACGAGAACTGTTAGAGGCCTGGGTGTCTGACACCAACTCTATCAACAGGCACGTTGACATACCCCCTGCTATCACGCGCTCCGTTCCCGCGGCCAAGAGGCGAGACCCAATGTCCAGCCAAGGGTGCACGCAGTCACGCCACCGTGAGACGGCGTGGGACTCCACTTATCGCGAATACCACCCTCTGCACTCATATCTCTCCCCCACTTCATGGCTTGACTACAAAAGCGGCTCATTTGATGTCGTATTCTCACAGTCTCTGACGATGGCCTCCTGTACGAGACCGAAAGCACAGACTAATACACCTACTGTCCCAGAGATCGTGTGTTCATCTTCTTTACAGTTACAATTGTCTTTCATGAAGTTCGCTGTCTGAAGTACGACTTTTGCTCCCGGGGCTTCGGTTCCCTTTCTTGCCCTGAGAGAGCAGAGCAACTGGAAGTCTTCGGCTAGTCTTATATTCTGTTGTGCAATCATGTTCTACTCAGGCGTACAAGGGAGACACAGAGAAGCCTGAAAGACATATTTCAGTGTTCAAAATCCTTGTATTATAGTTTTAATGCCTTAAAATGGGTCGTGTCAGTAAGTTCACGGTCATTCAGTCGTTGCATGAGATGGTGTAGCACATAGTTTTTGGGACTGTGACAACCAGGAGAGGAAAAAATCCAAACAGGAGGTGAAAACTTTTCATTCGCTTTCGAACGGTTTCGTTGGACACAGGAGGACTACCTATTCCTATGTCTTACTATCATTCTTTCCTGGCTACCCTTAGGGAATGCCCGAATGGGCTGAGGAGCAAAATCTTTGTGAATTAATAGTGATAGTCTTTGTGCGCATTTTACACAGATTCTGGTTCATATTTCGACAAAGTAGGGTCTCAAAACTGTCCTTTTTCTCGTGCGACTCAGTGTGTGTGTTCCTTAGAATTCGTAGGTGTACTATGAACAGGTCTTTAATTATATGAATTTATACTAGCGTTGTTTTCGTGTTCGTGAAATAACTTGGAGGACACCACAGTTTTATCTCCTAAATGATAGAAATTGTTTTAAATTTTCGGGGGTGGTGGATTTTTCAATGACTTCCTGCCCTTATTTGTGCTTGAAATCAGGTCTGCTAAACTTTAGCTGAATGGTTAACTATTACCTTACTTTGAATAAGCCATACAGCGCTTCCCTTATTTCGTCTACAAAGGCTGCGCCTGCGAAAATCTACAATGCGGCTGGGGAGAAATGCCCTGTTATCCAACTCCCTACCCCTCTATGGAGTGCCACGGAAGCTGCTGCCAACTGAACGACCAGTGGGGCGGACCGATGCCCTGCCCGCAGTCCCACTGCATGTTAGCCAACCGACACCAGAGTAGTGACCAGTGCTGCCAAAACTACCTCTGCGAGTGCAACCAAGCAGCCTCGTACCGCGAACAGGAACCGCCCCGTCTGCCAACGCAGTATGTTTCAGAGGCAACCGCACACCCGAAAAGTCCATTTACCGCAGAAGACGATCAAAGCGGCAAATTCTGTCCAGCCTGCGCCGGACTAGCCGCGGCTGCAGCCACAAGTGACTTTGGGTGCAACCAACTGCGTCGCATCGGTTCGCAGTCTAACGATCTTGACGCAGCTCTGGTGGACGTTTGGGCCTCAGCGGCAACCGCTACGACGGCTGATCAACAACAACAACAGCAGCAGCATCATCATCCCCATTCGCACCATCATCACCACCACCACCAGCAGCAGCACAATCACACTTCTGGCGTCAACCAGCGTCGGAGAGAATTGGCCTTCTCGGAGCAGAATCGACCTAGAAACAGGGTTGGCGACTGCCCATCGGGTGGTGGCGGTGGAAACGGTGCTGTTGGTGGGGGCAGTGGGCGGCGCGCGCCGAGCTCTCCAACAGCAAATCTGGAGGAGTTACTGGTCGGGTGCATCAACCAACCGTCGCAAAGCAACGCGGAGCTCAGGGGCCTTGGAGGTCATTCTCGTGGTTTTTCTGCTGACCGGCATCGGCGGTCAGACTCGAAGAGTGAACTCTTCTACTGTGATGCCTCGGAGACGGAACCATGTCAGCAGTGCGACGCGGAAGCCGCCGCCGCCGCCATGTGTGACCGCGAAACAGGAGGCGGTGGTGGTAGTGGCTGTTGCCCGAACAATCAGGGGACAAAATTCGGCACAAACAGCGGCAAACCGGACATACGAGTCCTCCGTAGGGTGGCTACGGTCTCACGAGACATCGCCGAAATCGTTCGCGGAATCCGGTACTTCCAGAAAAAAAACGAGAACAAAGAAAGACTCAACAAAATTGTAAATGAATGGCGTGCCGTGGGAAGCGTACTGGACCGGCTTTTCTTCATTTGCTACCTTTTTGCTATCAGCATTTCGATAATCCTGTACTTCCCGAGAGCTGCAGATAGCCTTTAGTGGGCATGTACGCCTCCGCCAAACATCCAGAGTGACAGAATCCCCCCCCGCCCTCTCCAACTTTACACCTCATGCATTCAGAAGGCAGTCTGCCTCCGCTTCCCAGATTTTTGGCCTCCCCTCCCCCCTCCCCCCACGCCTGCCTTTATGTCGTATGCTCCAGTATCTTATTCGAACTTAGCGCACAGCTGACCTGGAACACAAGAACCAAAAACAGTAAATGTAGACCTGCTGTTTCCACTTTCTTCCATCGGCCCTCCTTTATTTGCCTCCTCCCGCCGCAGAAAGGGAGTTGGAAATAGGAAAGCAGCGGACAGTCCTGTGTGAGGTTCTCTTGGAGGACTCCAAGTCGCCCGGCAATAACAGCAAATGCCTTCTACACCGCCTCCCTCCCCCTTGCGCTCCGGTCCTCGTACCCCATGTCCCAGGCCTCGAAGTCTGCGTAGTGTCAGCTCCGATCCCCTCCTGTACTGCTTCTGCTGCCCTGCCGCTCCTTCCAGCCACGCGCCTTTTCTACCGTGAAAGCGTCCCTAGGCGTTCTTTATTTTAATCTATAGTTAGAACCTTTCTACTGCCCCTTGATTGGAATGTTGAATTTAACTGCAGTTCCCTGTCTTTGTGTCTGATATTTTTTCAAGGGCTCACACTCACACAGCGCCCATGACAGGGTCGATAGCTTGCAGTGGAAAATGTGCGAAATTATAACCATGTCGCTGTCCAGGATCGCAGACGTGTACCTTTTAATGATAGTCTAAGTGTCGCAACCTTATTAATCTGGCAAAAGACGTCTCACCAGTAGAATAGCGTTATCAGCCGCTGGTCAGCGGAGTGGCCAACCATGACCTCATTTGGATGGAGGCGTACCCCTTTGAGTTTCTCCAGGAATTGTGCTGACGAAGAGACCGTGGTGTCTAACCCAGCGATCAGGAACTTGAGACGCCGGAATAGCCACTTAGCCAGTCCGTACGTTGGAGTACCTTTGAGCGACACGATGGGTCGGGGAGGAGCGCCGTCTTTGTGCACCTTAGGGAGGCCATAGGATCGGGCCAAGACCGTATCTTGGGGTCTCGCCATGCGTCTGTCGGTCGGTGTTATTGCACCTGAGTTCTCCAAGGCCAGCAACGTAGCATTGATTAAGCGTGTCAGCGCTTTTACAGGTATCGTTACAAATGGGACAGAGAACTGTCGGTCCTCCAGTAAACCTTTGGCTTTTTGAAGTTAGTCTGTCCTGTCCAGCACAACCGTGGAGCGCCCCTTGTCCGCCGGCACGATGAGCAAGTCTTTATCGACCTTGAATTCTCTAAGCGCATCACGTTCAACCTTGGAAAGCACTTTCCGCGGCCTGTGGGCCATTAGGAGAGACGACACTTGGTGTCTAATGAGGCTCTTAGTCTCCTCAGTTGCCTCCGTCTGACTAAGGATTGATTCCACTGCTGCAATCACGTTAACAGGTTTGGCATCAGTCGTGTTAAATGAAGCTTCGTGCCTTAAAACTTGTATTTGATCCTTCGTCAGCTCCTTTGACGACAGGTTGTGCACCAGTTTGTCGTTTCTGGACGACGTTGGATTGGGCAGTTTTCGGAATTTGTTTTCCGGTACTGCGTCGCGTATCATTCTCTGTTCGTGGGCTTGTTCAGCTATCCTCCACAGGAGCAGATTCGTACCGATCTCACCCATGAACTCACAGCATCTGGTCTTTTCTTGGTCAATCCTTTGACGGTACTTGCGAAGTCTTGCATGGCAATCTTGGAGGAGCACTCGGATCATCCTTCTACCATGTTGAAATACTGATCGTCTCGCCAAATCTTTGTTAACCGGTGGCTTGTATGAAGCACATTTCGGCAACACGTCATCGTCGAGACACCTGTGCAGAAATCGGATCTGCGAATACGTGGAGGCCTCCCGAAGGGCGAAGGTTTCTCATCGCCGGGCCGATCGAAGCGCATCGCGCCCAAATACATTGCCAATAGACGCGAAGAGACGAGTCCCAGGAAGCAGTCTTGAAGAAGAAGACACGATCGCCGGGCCAAGAGCTTTATTAGCCTGACGTTTCGGATTCCTGCTCGAGTTCATCATCAGAGGCACGATTGCTGGAACAAGTCTCTCAACAAGTGCAACGACATCCCTACTCCATATTTCGTGCTGAGCCATGGGCTGGCCAATGTAACTGACCCCTCGGGGAGCGCGCAAGCCGGTGGGCCAGATGGACGAGCAATCATCACGTCAGCATCCAGCGCGGGTGATGAGATTTCAGCAATTAACAACCTGCATGCCGGCCATTAAGCAATTAGCGCACCAGCGAGCGATAATCCTTGATGAAGGAGAGCTTGGTTAATTGCTAAAGGTATGTGGTCACATAGCGACTGCATCCTATAAATACTGCAACTTCCTGTGTACGACTCACCCTTTTCCGCCACTGTCCCTGATGATGGGTTCAACTGAGAATCCGAAACGTCAGACGAATAAAGCCCTTGTTCCAGCGATCGTTTCTTCTTCTTCTTCTGATCAACTAGTTCCTGGGATTCGCATCTTCGCTTGTATCGACAAGTGCTATATTAGCGGCGCCGCTTCGGATTCTTAATCGAGCCTACCATCAGAGACAGAGTCAGATAAGGGTTGTGGATTGCCCATCCTATAAATATTGCAACATCTGGGCAACCCATTACCATTATCTGAATCTGTCTCTGATGATGGGTTCGAGTGAGAATCCGAAACGTCACGCTTATAAAGCGCCTGTTCCAGCAATCGAGTCTCCTTCTCCGCAGAGAGATGTCATTCGTGTGTAAATCACTCAAGTCTATGTCGTTTGAGATCCCCTCGTCGGTATTGCATACCGCCGCAGAAAATACTATTGCGGTAACTGGCAT